TGCCAATAGACATGGAAATTAATTATCTCAGGTGAAGGAAGTTTCAGTTGACTCCCTCTCTTCCAACTCTCAAAAAAAAGGACAGATTTGAGCTGGAGGTATGGCTCTCATGGTAGAGCGCCTGTCTAGCAAGCATGAAGCTCGGAGTTCAAACCCTAGAACTACCACACACACAAAAAAAATGGCAGATTACCATCCACTGTAAATTCATTTTGGCTTTTCTTTGAGACTGGGTCTCACTTACGTAGCCCAGTCTGGTCTTGAACTTGCCAACGTCCTGGCTGTATCTCTTGAGTGCTGGGATTACAAGTGTGCATCAGCATGCCAGACTCTTTTTTTTTTTTTTTTGGCAGTACTGGGGCTTAAACTCAGGGCCTTCACCTTGAGTCACTATACCAGCCCTATTTTTGTGAAGGGTTTTTCAAGTTAAGGTCTCACAAACTATTACCTGGGGCTGGCTTCAAACCTCCTGATCTCTGCCTCCTGAATAGCTAGGATTACAGGCATCAACCACTGGCACTTGGTCAGCATGCCAGACTCTATATAAATTTGTGGGTTTCTGACTTCTCCCTTGAACTGGTTGCGACATCTTGCTGGTTCTCTCACTAATAATTAATTAAATCTTAAATTTAGAAAAAAATCTGTATGATAGTTCTGTTTTACCTTCCCTTCCCTGCAAGTTATCCTTTAACATTTGTTATCATTCTCTTTGTAGTAAAACAAGAAGCACTGCTATTGCTAGACTTTTTCCAATGCACTGCAAACTTTCTTCAGTTAAACAGAGAGAGTAAACATTTGCTTTACTAAAGGTTTCAACATAGACTTACTTTAGTCTTCAATGATATCTCCGGTAATCACTTCAAAAGAAATTTGCCTTTCAAATCTTAGATATGGATAGTAATGAAAGCTTGCATTTACTGAGCAATTTATAATTAATTATTTTTCTTTTCTCTTTTTTTTGCAGTTCTGCGAATTGAACCCAAGGCTTTGTGCATGCTAAGAAAGCACTCTTTCCCCAAACCTTTACAGAATAATTTCATTCAGGTATCATTTATTTGCATGATCCCTATGAGGAAAGTACTGAAAACCAAAACTAATTACTCCTACACTTATCCTGAGCACTGAGAATCAAAACCATATCCTACTATCTAAAATAAAATGACTTCATTACTTATCTGTCTTCATTAGCATTATTTTACCTTTCCTGGATTGTCTGGCTCAAGCAAATGCATTACAGGAATTTCTCAAAAGACCCATCAACTCTTCAGTGGAAAGGCATCAATAGACAGATCAAAGACTAAATTCTTTGAATTATATCATGTGGCAATAATAAGGAAGTACTGATACATGCTACAACCTGGATGAAGAAACCTTATGCAAATGAAAGAAGCCAGACACAAAGGACCACATGGTGTATGATTCCATTTATATGAACTAGAATAGGCCAATAGAACAAACAAATCTGCAAAGACAGAAAGGCGATTGGTGGTTATTTGGTGGTGGTGCTGGTAGATGGGCTTGGGGAAGATGGGCAGTGGTGGCCAATGAGTAGGGGGATTCTTTTTAGAGTATAAAATGTCCTAAAAATGACTGCGGGCTGGATGAATTGGCATGCACCTGTAGTAAGAAGGTAAAAGCTGAGGATCACTTGAGCCCAGGAGTGAGAGGCCAGCTTATGTAATATAGGGAGACCTGTCTCTTAAAACAAGCAAATAAAAAAAGTTGATTGAAGTAATGACTGCACAACTAAATATACTAAAAATCATTGAGTTGTGGACTGGGCTGTGGGTGAACCTCAGCAGTAGAACCTTTGCCTAGTATGTGCAAGGCACTGGGTTCAATCCCCAACATCACAATAAAAAAGAAAAAGAGAATCATAATTTTTTTTTTGGCAGTACTGGTGTTTAAACTCAGGATCTCACACTTGCCAGGCAGGTGCTCACCCCTTGAGCCACTCTGCCAGTCAAGAATCATATAATTTAACTAGGCAAGTTATATGGTACATGAATTACATTTCAGTAAAAAAAAATTATTAAGAGTGCCTGCTTTGCAAGGGAGAAGCCCTAAGTTCAAACTCCAGTCATGCAAAAAAAAAAAGTTATTAAGAATTGCAAATTTGTCTCTGGATGTGGCTCAAGCGGTAGAACACCTATGTAGCAAGTGCCAGGTCCTGAGTTCAAACTCCAGTACCACCAGTGTGGTGACTCATACCTGTACTTTGGGAGTCTGAGATCAGGAGGATTGGGGTTTGAGGCCAGTCCAGGAAAATACTTCGAGAGACCTGTCTTCAAAATAACCAGAACAAAATGGACTGGACATGTGGCTCAAGTGCTAGAGCACCTGCTTTGAAAGCACAAAGCCCTGAGTTCAAACCCCATCCCAATAAAAAAAAAGAAAAAGAAAAGACTTTGAATTCCTCTTCTCAAAATCCTCACCTTGCTATTTTTATTCATTGTAAATTGTTGTACTGTGGTTCCTACTCAATCCTAATCAAATTCTCTTCATTGAAAAATTTGCCTTAAATAAACTTCCAGCTTTCAGCAATTTGCAGGGAGCAGGGGAGTCAGAGTCTCTGTGTGGCTTAGGGTGCCACAAACTCATGATCTTGCTGCACTGGCCTCTGCAGTGCTAGGATTACAGACCTGAACCACACACCCAGACTGAGTGTTCAGTAAATTTTGATCTTACCTTTCCCTCTTGAGAACCACCAAAGGAAGTAGTTCAGGTGACATCCCCCTTACTAGGGTAAATGATACGCTCAGCTCTGTCCTAGCCACAAACTAGGTTGGTGATGTTTGGGGAGTAAGGTGTTTTTCTGGTTATTGTTTGTTTATTTGCTTTTCTATCTTTTGTGTGTGTGTGAGAGATTGGGGTTTGAACTCAGGGCTGTGCTGTTGCAAAGCAGGTGCTCTACAGCTTGAGCCATGTCTCCAGTTCTTATCTTTTAAAAATATGGTGGGCTGCGAGTGTAACTGTAACTCAGCGGTAAAGCATGTGCTCAGCACGAACAACACCCTGGGTTCAATCCCCAGGACCAAATATAAAAAAAAAAAAAATAAGAAAAGTGCAAAGCTGGGTGCCAGTGGTTCACACCTGTACTTGGGAGGTAGAGATCAGGAGGATTGCAATTGGAGGCCAGCCTGGGCAACTAGTTTGCGAGACCCAACCTTGAAAAGACCCAAGACAAGAAAGGGCTGGTGGAGTGGCTCAAGTGGTAGAGCGCCTGCCTAGCAAGTGTGAGGCCATCAGTTCAAACCCTGGTATTGCCACAAAAAATTTTAAAAAGCACAAAAAAAAACTATGGCAAAAAGTATAGAGCATATATGACATAAAAAGTTACCATTTTAACCATTTTTAAGGTTCAGTTCAGGGGCATAAAGGACGTTCACACTGTTGTGCAATCATTATCACTACCCTGCTGTAGAACTTTCTATCATCCAGTCTGAAACTCTGAACCCGTTACATAATAACTCTATCACCACCCTTGCCTCTGCCCTGGAACACCACCATTCTACTTTCTGCTTCTGTGAATTTGACTATTTCAGATTCCTCATGCAAGAGAGGTCACATAAGATAAGGTTTTTTTGTGTCTGGCTTCTTTCACTTAGCAAAATATTTTCCTCCCCTTTGATTTCTTTAATAATATTCTTTTAAAAAGGAGGAAGGACGGAAAGAAGGAAGGAGGGAGGGAGGGAAGGAAGGAAGGAAGGAAGGAAGAAAAGAAGAAGAAGAAAGGAAGGAAGGAAAAGAAAATAGATTCTGCTGGTGCCAGTGGCTCACAACTGTAATCCTAGCTACTTGGGAGACTGAGATCTGGAGGATTGTGGCTCGAGGCCAGTTAAGGCAAAAAGCTTGCAAGATCTCATCTTCAAAATAACAATAGCAAAATGGACTGGAGGTGTGGCTCAAGCAGTAAAGCACTTGCTTTGCAAGTGTAAAGCCTTGAGTTCAAACCCTAGTCCCACCAAAAAGAAAGAAAATAGGTTTTTTATCTGAGTCAAATATGAGTGACTATGTCCTGGGAACAAAAATTCAAGTCACCCTGAATAATATGTTCCACCTTTAGCAATATTCTGCCATATATTTTCTCTATTAGTTCATCAATGGACATTTGGGTTGTTTCTATCTTTTGGCTGTTGTGAGTAATGTTGCTACTGTGGACACTGGTGTACAAAAACCTGTGTGATTCCTACTTTCACTTCTCTGGGTATATACCTAGAAGTGGAATTGTTGAACCATAAGTTTCTGCATTTGATTTTTTTTTAACAGAAAGTCAGAGATACTTTATTTTTACTTCTAAATCCAAAGGCTAAGTATAGCAGAGTTGTAAAAATGGGATCCCACTTAGTATGATTCACATGAATACTAACGTTTAATCCTGTTTTCAAAGTCCAAGCATGAAAACTTGCAATTAAACACTGAGCAAGCCACATGTTTAGGTAATATTTCTTAAAAACTCTTACAGAAAAAGTATGATACGGAACCTAAGTGGCATATTTGCTATTAACACATGTTCTGAAATCTGGTAGGTCACATCAGTCCTGAATTAATTTTTAATTAAAAAAAAAACTAAGTGAGCTTTATACTTTTCTATGCCACTATAGCTTTCTTTCACCTCATTTTAATGTCAATCTTCACTTTATGCCATTTTCAGTATTCTTCAAAAAATCTTCGAACGGTAGTCCTCTGTCTGATCTGAGGTCTTATCAGATCAGTTTTAATTGAGTGTCACCTTCAGATTTAATGTCTTCACTGGTCCCATTGACCTCATTCTTAATATTACTTTTCTTCGATTCAGTCAGCGTTTGTGTCTTCACTGTTTTTCTCCACTACTGAACTTCACACTACTTTTTTTTTTTTTAATCATCAGATCCCCTCTTTTCTTTCTCCTTGGATTTTCTATCTTGTTCTCTGTCCCGACTTTTGCTCCTGTGCTTATATGACTTTCGATCTCAGCTTTTTGACCTTCTTCGATCCCGATTTTGAGATCTATGTTTTCTTTCTGATCTGTCATGGCTTCTATTTCTTCGTCGATCTCTACTTCTGCTTCTCCTTCTTTCCCTACTTCGTGACCTTTTGTGGTCCCGAGACCTGCTACATCTTCAATCAGAAGTTCTACTTGAGTGTCTACTTCGTGAACGACTTCTCTTTCTTCGTTCTCTGTCACGAGCTCTTTTTTCTCTCTTTCTTCTTCTTCTCTTCGTCTTTTCCTTTCCCTTTCTTCCCTTTCTCTCTCCCGTTTTTTCTCTTTCCTCTCTTTCTTGCTTCTCTTTTTTTTGACGCTCATCCTGATCAGGTTCCTTCTGTCCTTTTTCTTAACTTTTCTTTTAATTCTTCTACAGTGGCTTTAATTTTGGCATAGCCCATGTGCTGTTTTTCCATCAAATGATCATCTACAAGGGACTGGGCATCTCCTACTATCAAAAAGGCTCCACACACTTCACAAACTTCCATTTGTTTTTCTTGGGCAGCAAAACTTTCAATTGTTGAGGTTGTGGATCGAAGCAATTCTCTCTCTTCTTTTAACTGTTCAACTAATTTCATCATTCCCTGGGCTTCTTCAACCTTTCCTTCAGATCCTAATTCTTCAATCTGCTGTAGAAGCACATCAATTTTGTTTGTTAGAACCTGAATTTTTTCTTCATTTTTGCCTGTTGGGCCAGCAGCCCCAGATGACTGCTGGTTTTGAGGTAATGCCAAACGAGCATGGCCTCGTCTGATTCTACGTTCTACTTCTGCCAGTAAGCTCTGTAAGTAGCGCAAAAAATCTCTCTCATAGCCAACTTTCATAAAACGAAAACTCTTTTTATACTGTTTTCGTAGATTTTCATCATGAATTTTTTCACATGGACCAAGATCCGAACGAGTATTTGTGAACAACTCCACAGGACAAAAACCACAGAGATAATACAAATGCTCTCGTGGTCCCTACCGCCCATTGCTGAGCTTCTGGTCCGGGGCAAGGTTTCGGTCCCGGCCCATTAACTCGCCCGACAGTTGCGCGGCTGAAATCATGGTGCTTCCTTCAGAGGGCTGCTCCCCCCCAGCCCTGGCACCCGTCAGCGAAAACGCAGGTGATACGGTCGCCAGCCTCCTCAGCCCACTCTCAGGCCGGAAAGCCTCCACCACAGAACTGATATGACCTGCATTTGATTTTTTTAGGAGCTGCCATACTGGTTTCAATAGTAGCCGCTCCCCTTTACATTTCCACCGATGACATACAAGTTTTTCCATCTCTCCACATCCTTGTCAACCCTTGTTATTTTCCAATTCTTATTTTTTGTAACAACCATCCTAAGGGGTGTGAAGCAGTATCTCGGTGTGGTTTTGACTTGCATTTCTCTAATGATTGGTGATGCTGAACATATTTCATGTCCTTATTGGCCATTGAAGAAGGGTCTATTTATGTCCTTTGCCCATTTTTCACTCGAGCTGGGTGTGAGAATTCTTTACATATTCTGAATATTAACCTCTTATGCCAACTCCTCAGGGGTGGAGGGAGGGTGGGAGGAGTGTGCTGGAATCAATCCCTGAGTGCATTAGCAAACAGCTGTATTAATTTCCTGTGTGCCACAGGTGTGCTATAATGATTTGCAAATATTTTCTCTCACTTTATACGCCGATGTTTCACCTGTTGCTAGTATCCTTTGAGGCACAGAAGTTTCAGATTTTTTTGGTGGTGGTACTGGGTTTGAACTCAGGGCCTCACGCTTGCTAGGCAGGGTCTACTGCTTGAGCCACTCTGCCAACCCTCTCTTTTTTTTCTTTGTCTTTTCTTTTTTGGTGCTGGAATAGAACCCAGGGCCTCTCGCATACCAGGCAAGTGCTCTACCACTGATCTACATCCTAGCCCATTGTTTTTGTTTGGTTTTTTTGGTGGGCCTGGGTAGAACACAGGGCTTCTGCCTGCAAAGCAGGCACTCTACCACTTCAGCCACACCTCTAGTCCATTCTGCTCTGGTTATTTTAAACATAGGGTCTCATGGGCTACTTGCCTGGGCTGGTCTTGAACTTAGATCCTCCTAATCTCAGCTTGCCAAGTAGCTAGAATTACAGACGTGAGCCACCAGTGCCCAGCTCCTTAATTCTTACAGTTTTTTTCCCCCATGCTGGCTGAAGAGAACACAAATATTCCTGAATCTTTGTGAAGTTCAGGGATTATTTCCTTTAATCCTCAACCAGGATCCTCATGATTGCTTCTTGATCTCTGCTCCTGAATAGCAAGGATTATAGGCGTGAGCCACTGGCACCTTTCTCTCTCTCTCTCTCTCTCTTCAGTACTGGTTATTGAACCATGACCTCATACATGCTAAGCACTGAGCTACACCTCCAGAAATTTATATTGATCTATTTTCTATTGCCAATTACACATCACAGGCTGGGTAAATTTTAATAAAAAGAGGTTTCTTTTGGCCTGTAGTTTGGGAAGCCCAAGGATGAGGACCCACCTCTAGTGATGATTCTCTTCCTGTGAAAGTCCAGAATGGCACAGTGCAACACATGGCAGGAGACAGGGAGCAGCATATGTGCCTCTGTTTTCCTCTTTCAAAGCCATCAGTATTCAGTCATGGGCTCCACCCTGATGACCTTATCTAAACACCATAGTCTAGTCAGAGTAAGTTTCCACCGTCTTAAAAAGGAAGTATCCACCCTCTTCTTAACAGCTAACAACGAGAATTAAACTCCAACACAGGAACCCTTAGGGAACACACTCAAGCTGCAACCTGAGTCCTAGGCCAGAGGCCCAACTCCAGGGGTTTCAACATGTCAAGTTTAGCCACTTGCCCTAATATGCCAATTAAAGAGATGAGTAGTGGTGAAGGTCAAAAAAGATTTACTAGTGAGTCAGCCCCACTCTGGAAGTGGGAGTAAGCATTTCAGCCCATCTTCAGGGTACAGACATAAGTGTAATGACTTCAATAGAGGAAGAATTGACGAAGGGGGTGGGAGATGAGCATAATTAAATGGTTCTGGTGGGCCAGCTGATTATCATCTCTGGATTGGCCAGGTGGGGCCTTTCTTATGGCCTCACCATAAGAAAGTCATTGCTGCTTGAGGAGATAATTTCATCTTTTGTCACAGATGTTTAGCCATAACTCTATTGTTCCTGGAATCCAAGGTGACTGAAAGGTGACTACATGAGAGAATGGCTCAGAGCAAAAAGGACTGATACAAAATGGAGTCGGTAGCCAGTGGCTCGTGCCTATTACAGGGCTAGCGAGTCAGGAGGCAGAGATCAGGAGAATCGTGGTTCAAGGCCAACCCTGGCCAACAGTTTAAGAGACTCTGCCTTGAAAATATCCAACTAAAAAAGGGCTGATGGAGTGGCTCATTTGGTAGAACACCTACCTAGCAAACATGAAGCCATGGGTTTAAACCCAACTACTGCCAAAAAAAGAAAAAAAAATGGAGGCAGTATTGGCAGACTCAAGTGAAGAGTTATTTTATTTTTGTTTTGTTTTGTTTTTAGTAAAAGCAGTTTCTGAGAACCTGTTAGAAAAACTATGTTCAAGCTAGGTGCCAGAGGCTCGTGACTATCATCCTAGTTACTCAGGAGGCAGAGATCAAGATCAAGAGGATAGCAGTTGTAGGCCAGCCTGGCAAATAGTTCAAGAGATCCTATCTCAAAACAACCCACCACAAAAAAGGGCTGGCGGAGTGGCTTAAGTGATAGAGCACTTGCCTAGCCAGTGTGAGGCCCTGAGTTTACACCCCAGTGATGCCAAAAAAGAAAACCATGTCCAAACCATTGCATCCTCATACATAATTTAATTTGATTTTCAACATTACTCTGAGGGTTGGGCGCCAGCACCTCAAAACAAACAAAACCAAAAAAACTTACCTTGAGCTACATAGTATATTACAAATGAAGATCTGAAACTAGGAGAAAATAGAAACCTTGCCCAGCACTTTGCATGGTAACATACAGGCACTAAAATAAAATAAACCAAATTCAAATACAAACAAAAAATACAAAAGCTTTCCTAGGGAAAATAAATGGCAATTGAAGACAATGATGACCATCATCTTACTCCAAGTACTATTCTGTTTCTGCATCTATTACTACCTCAGAACACTTTTTCTCAAGGTGAAGTCCAAGACAACTTGTATTACAGATTTGGAGGACTGGTTTAAAGTACAAATCTCAAGGGGTGAAGATGTAGCTCAGTGGTAGAGCCCTTATGTAGCAGCACAAGGCCTGGATTTGATCCTTATTTTGATCTCAGAACCATAAATTACAAATTCCAGCTGGAGGCACGTCTGTAATCCCAGCACTAGGGAGACTGAGGCAGGAGGATTGTGGGTTTGAGGGCAGCCTAGGCTACATAGGAAGTTCCAGGCAAGCATGTGTTGAGATCCTGTCTCACACACACACACACACACACACACACACACACACACACACATCTTTTTCCAGTTTCTCTATCTGATTTCTCCAACTTTCCTTTGCTATAAAAATTTTCTAGTCAAGCACCAGTGGCTCATGCCTGTAATCCTAGTTACTCAGAAGGCAGAGATGAAAAGGATCACAGTTCAAAGTCAGCTGGGCAAATAGTCAGAGTGACCTTATCTCAGAAATACTCAACACAAAAAAGGGCTGGTGGAATGGCTTACATGATGGAGCACCTGCCCAGAAAGCATGAGGCCCTGAGTTCAAACCCTATTGCTACAAAAAATACTATTTTTTTTCCATTTTCAAGACTGGGCATGGTTAGCATGCCCATAATTCTAGCACTCCAAGACAATTTAGTGAGACCCTGTCTCAAAGTAAAAAATTTCAAAAGGGCTGGGGTATACTCAGTGGTATAGTGCTTGCACTCATGAGGGCCTAGATCAGTCCTCACTACCACCAAAAAAGAAAGGAATAGGAAAGCTTAAACCTAAAGAGAGATCAGGCATTAAAATAGAAAGAAACTGCCTGGCACCGATGACTCATGTCTATAATCATAGCTACTCTGGATGCAGAGATCAGAAGGATCATGGTTCAAAGCCACCCTGGACAAATAGTTCAGGAGAACCTAGCTTAAAAAACCCATCACAAAAAATGGGCTGGTGGAGTAGCTCAAAGTGTAGGCCCTGAGTTCAAGCTCCAGTATTGCAAAATAAATAGATAAGTAAATAAAAATAAAAAGCTGAAAGAATCTGTTTTTAAGGTGGGGCGGAGGAGGTGGCCCAAACAAGGTATACACAAGTGAATAAATGTAAAAAAAATAAAATAAAAAGAAGAAAAAAGAAAAAAAAAGAATCTGTTTCTAAATTGGGAGAAATTTATATAATGAATATATTTATTTGCAGTAGTTGTTGCTATTGTGGATTTCTGAGAATATATATATAAAGTATGTATCTACACATATGTGTATATATACACACACACATACACCCACATATTTTGTTGCTGTCATGGTTTGGTTTTCAATCCTCCTACCTCAGCCTCCCAAATAGCTGGGATTACAGGCATGTACCACCACACCTGCCTTAAGCTTTTCTTGACAAAAACTTTGCAATGAAATGCAGCATACAGAAAAACAAACAAATTGTGAGTGCACAGCTCAATAAATTTTCTAACTGAATTTACGTATGTAATCCCCACCCAGATCAATAAATAGAACAGTATATCCTTTCCTTTTCCTTTTCTAAATACAACCACTAACATGATTTCTATCACCTAGATTGGTTTTGCCTGTTTTATATCTTTCTGTAAGTAGAACCCTGCGGCATTCATTTTCTTTCGTGTTTTGATTCTTTTGCCTAATTTATTATTTATGACATTGATTCATTTTCTTTTGTATAGCAGTCTACTGTATAAATATATTATTTTAAATCCATTTACTGCTGATAATGTCTTGGTGGGT